GTGTGGTGATGTTTTCTTGGCACACTTTAGGCCCCTTAGTGCCAATTGGGCATCGTTTAAATGCCACGGCCTACCTGAGTTGCACAGTTACTCATAGTTATAGAATGGTCTAAAATGGACCATAGTGTTACCCACAAATTTCAAAACGGTCATAGCTTTACACAGGCTGTCCAATGTTCCAAACATTTCATTGTGCATTCATTTTCTGTATGAACATTTCTTTAATCACCTTCAATGACATTAATCATAAATATCAACAAAAAGTGTTCCTCGCCTGGCTTACTGTAAAAGGAAAACAACGGATTGATAACACCTTCTATATTTCCATCATCTGTCTCTTGTTGACTCATTAGTCCACAGTTCTCATTACAGATCTGCAAACATAGAGTAATGACAGATCTGACAACATGGTCTGGAAAAGTAGGACCCTAGAAGAGTATGAATGATGAAAAATTGATAGATGTCTTCCAGTTGGTTCATGGTCCACAGTAATTGGTGTCAATTGATCTCGTTATCATGAAATGTTTATGATCTAAGCATGAAATATTGCTGGTGTTTTTCTTTAAAACTATTAAATCAAACGAAGCAACAGTTACTGTCATCTCAGATGCAATGTTTGAATTGCATTATGAAATGGTAATACATTTATGATATTTACGATATTTACGATGTATATTTCAAATGGAAACACACAACCTGTCGATCGATCAATACACCCTGTTTAACCTTTATTTTTATTTATTTAAAAGCTTCTAAAATCATTTTAAAATGTGCCAAGTCAATGTAAAAGATTGTATTTCCTGTTCTTGTTTCTTTTTTTAGCCTCTGATGAGGAGCCCGTGACCTCTGACCTGCTCTGGATGCTGATTGTTGGATTATGGTTATGAAGTCAGCAGGGCAGGAGTGCAATAATGTGGCTGGTTCCTGATCTTGTGGATTGTCTTCACTATGACCTTGAATTTTTCTTCTTTGAGATCCTAAACCCTTTTGAGGTTTAAAGTTTTGGAGCACAAGTATTTTGTATTTTATTTTGACAATTAACAAACTCATGTGAACTTCTTTCTCGGTTAGTCATGGCGACGATCAACAGTAACTCAGATGCTCCTTCCCTCTCATTGGCTGCTACTGAGAGCACTATGCTTTCCTTTTTCGTGTCATGTTTTCATCTTGCAAGGCTTATGTAAGCAGGATAAATATTTGAACTTGCTGTAAAGCGCCTGGATAACAGATAGAGGCGCAGTGTTGGAGACGCATGTGTAGCGGTGGGCGGGAACAGAAGCTGTGGGTGTGTGTTTCACAGTGTTCTCTTTAAGAGTACACCAAAACATTCCATGATGTTTATCCTCAAATCCCGATGAATAGAGTGGCTGTGTAGACTAGACTGAAAATGTGTTATAGTCACACAGCAAGCCTACAGTCTGTCAGACTGAAAGACTTTTCACAATTTAATTTCAAGATTTTATATTGCCTATGTCAAAGACAAGAACTTAAACATATACGGACTAATTTTTGTATATTTTATCATACAAGAAAAAAAACTACTGGTGCTGCTGTTAGGCTTCCTACAAATTCAGATAAAATCAGATACATTTACAATAAAAGATACTTTTGCAGTAGCTTATCACGTTCTGCATTATATTAATAAAAGAGTGTCCAAAATATAATGGCGTACACATGTTTAGCTTTAACCCTTAACCTACTCTGAATGAACTCCTTTGTACTGAAACGTGACTTAAGCAACTGAATCTTACTCTCATATTTGCTCTTTTTCAGGTTACAGAATCTTAAATTACTCAAAAAAAGCACTAGTTTTCTGTTATTTAACGAATACTTATTGAATATCACTCACCTGAGCCAGCATTGTATAAACTTGACAAATAAATATTGAAAGGAGTATAGAGTGTCTTCGGTTCATCGTCTTCATTAAATCGTTGAGTGGATACATTAATTGTTAATAAATGTCTTTGTGTAGTGGATTCTGTGAAGAAAATGCTGCGTATCTGTTTCTGTTTAGCTCCAAATTGGTGACCGACTGAGCTCTGAAAGCCCCTCCGTGTGAGAGAGCTGCAGGAGGATCTCTGGACGCATGGGAGTTCCCCACACACCGCAGGGCAGCTGCTGGATTCGACAGAAGTTGTGAAAACAGTTTCTTTACTCGTGTTTTGCATTGTTAGAGTTAACTTCATCAACTTCTAAAATTATTCATTATTCAGGCCCACTGTAAGAAAATATTGGGCTCGGTACAAATTGTACATGGATATTTTATAACTCTATCTAATAATTAAAAAAATTGAGGATTAATTAATTTTAGAGATAAATTTGACAAGCACATATATTAACCCTTTAGCTACTCCCTTTTTAAGAAAAAACATTACAAAACATAACAATATACTTTTAGAACAATTAGCACAGTGGTATTAAAGTAACACATGAAATGCGGAGAAAAGCAGATAAAACCGTCAGCAAAATGAATAAATGAGAAAGTAACAATGTTAGAAGTTATAGTTTACATTTTGTCTCCAAGGTTGCATGCCCAACCGCAGGACCTCGTGGCGCAACGGTAGCGCGTCTGACTCTAGAGCAGAAGGTTGCGTGTTCAAATTATGTTGAGGTCAATCTGTCTCATCTTTGAGCGCAAGTCTTTGATAAAATTCAGGAATCCTTGTGGCTAGACCCTACAACAAACTCAGCAATTTGACAGAAGTGCGGAGACTCTGTTTGACAAAAGTTTGACAAAGCAAAGGGCCTTGTGGCTATGTCATAGAGTGTTTGACTCCAGATCAGAAGGTTGCGTGTTCAAATCACGTCTGGGTCAATGAATCTCTTCTTTGAGCGCAAGTCTTTAATAAAAATCGGAAACGCTTATTGTTACACCCTATGACGAGCTCAGCAATTTGACTGACGTAAAAGACCTCCAGATCAGAAGGTTGCGTGTTCAAATCACGTCGGGGTCAATGAAACTCTTCTTCGAATGCAAGTCTTTGATAAAATTCAGGAATCCTTGTGGCTAGACCCTTTTCTTTTCTGAGCAATTTGGCAAAAATCAAGGACCTCGTGGCGCAACGGTAGCGCGTCTGACTCCAGATCAGAAGGTTGCGTGTTCAAATCACGTCGGGGTCAATGAAACTCTTCTTCGAATGCAAGTCTTTGATAAAATTCAGGAATCCATGTGGCTAGACCCTTTTCTTTTCTGAGCAATTTGGCAATAATGAAGGACCTCGTGGCGCAACGGTAGCGCGTCTGACTCCAGATCAGAAGGTTGCATGTTCAAATCACGTCGGGGTCAATGAAACTCTTCTTCGAATGCAAGTCTTTGATAAAATTCAGGAATCCTTGTGGCTAGACCCTTTTCTTTTCTGAGCAATTTGGCAATAATGAAGGACCTCGTGGCGCAACGGTAGCGCGTCTGACTCCAGATCAGAAGGTTGCGTGTTCAAATCACGTCGGGGTCAATGAATCTCTTCTTCGAATGCAAGTCTTTGATAAAATTCAGGAATCCATGTGGCTAGACCCTTTTCTTTTCTGAGCAATTTGGCAATAATGAAGGACCTCGTGGCGCAACGGTAGCGCGTCTGACTCCAGATCAGAAGGTTGCGTGTTCAAATCACGTCGGGGTCAATGAAACTCTTCTTCGAATGCAAGTCTTTGATAAAATTCAGGAATCCATGTGGCTAGACCCTTTTCTTTTCTGAGCAATTTGGCAATAATGAAGGACCTCGTGGCGCAACGGTAGCGCGTCTGACTCCAGATTGAAGGTTGCGTGCTCAAATCACGTCGGGGTCAATGAATCTCTTCTTCGAATGCAAGTCTTTGATAAAATTCAGGAATCCTTGTGGCTAGACCCTTTTCTTTTCTGAGCAATTTGGCAATAATGAAGGACCTCGTGGCGCAACGGTAGCGCATCTGACTCCAGATCAGAAGCTTGCGTGTTCAAATCAAGTCGGGGTCAATGAATCTCTTCTTCGAATGCAAGTCTTTGATAAAATTCAGGAATCCTTGTGGCTAGACCCTTTTCTTTTCTGAGCAATTTGTCAAAAATCAAGGACCTCGTGGCGCAACGGTAGCGCGTCTGACTCCAGATCAGAAGGTTGCGTGTTCAAATCACGTCGGGGTCAATGAATTTCTTCTTCGAATGCAAGTCTTTGATAAAATTCAGGAATCCATGTGGCTAGACCCTTTTCTTTTCTGAGCAATTTGGCAAAAATCAAGGACCTCGTGGCGCAACGGTAGCGCGTCTGACTCCAGATCAGAAGGTTGTGTGTTCAAATCACGTCAGGGTCAATGAAACTCTTCTTCGAACGCTAGTCTTTGATAAAATTCAGGAATTCAGTGATCGTTTTACACTGGATTGTTTTATAAACTTTCCTCAGAGACAACTAGGATTCACTGATTATTCACTGATAATCCGCTGTTACTGGTGAACGGGACCGAAACGGCTATCTCCCGCGTCAGCGTTCATCCTCCCATCTCTAAAAGCTAATCAGCTAATTTCACCGTCGACAGCTTTCCCGTGAGTGGGCGTGGTTTCAGCGCAGCCAGCGGACACGCCCCCCAGCGTTTGATAACAGAGATAACTGCTCATTTTTTCATGATTTTGATAGCTTATTTTATGTACTTGTTGGCTTTTTTATCATTCAAATTTGGCTGGATGGCTAATAACACATTTTTCTGTGGTGTCACAAACTCAGAACACATACTTAATTTTGACTTTACAGGGACTTTAATGTTTTAAACATTGAATTCTATTTACTGGTATTTACCTTATCTTATTAAATTTAAGTTTGATCCTAAGCTGTCCAACATAATGTAATGAATGTAATAATATAATTATAAAATTGTGCTGTATTTTTAAAAAGTGCACATTTACAGGTCACAGGTGACCATTTGCACCAGTAAAACAAGAAAATTGTGTTCATTATTCCCGCCCACTTATGTTATAAGTCTGCGTTCGATGACAGTGAGAGTTATGTCCTCTTTGGCGCTCCATACAGGTGTTCATCTGTGGGAGGAGCGAAGTCCGAGTCCGCGAGAGTTTCGCGCTGAAACCTGCAGGTGATTTCCCGCTTGTGTTTTTCTCACAGTCGTTTTATCTAAAACAGTCCAACATACTTTTTATTCCGATTCTGACACACACAATCTCACTCAGTACGACTAAAAGATCCGCGCCGGTGAGAGAGTGAAAGGAAAACCTGCTTAAACTTGCATTCTGACTTCATTCTTCTTTTACAGATGAAGAAATGCCATACATATTTATGGACATAAAGACAAATAAAACCGGCCTGCCTACAGCTCTCTGTCTCCGATCCAATGGATCCTTGTGCTGAAGATCCGGCCGGAAGACCCGAGGATCATGTGTTTCATGGATGGGATGTTCCTGTGTTTTCAGAGCAGGATTATTTGGATTTATACACACCCGTCTCTGATTTAATAGCAGCCGATCAGAAGAAAGAGCAGGTGAATGTGAACATGAAGAATGAGGAAGCAGCTGTGAGGAAAACACCTGTACAACACCTGCGCGAGCCTCAGGTAACAGATCCTCTCTGATTACACACAACACACACACACACACACACACACACACACACACACACACACACACACACACACACACATACAGTCAAACAAAAATGTAACCCTTCAACATTTCTCACATTATCATCAGTTTATCGGCTGTAGTTTATGATTATGACAGATCTCAGGTCTCAGATCAGTGGATATTTGACTGGTTTAGTCCGTCCTTCTGTTGGACTCTCACACATGAATTATGTTGAATATCTGTTCAATTGAACTCCACAATTAGATAATACCAGTTTAGCTCAACCAGTGACCAAGCAATGCTTCATGTTGTTCAGTGTGTGTGTAAAAAGAGCATTAGCACTTACACAAAACACACTTAAGCAAGTTTTTATAAATCTTACTGGTAGTCAGTGTATAAAGAATTTTTGGGAATAACATGTCCAGTTTACTATATGTTGCTCTCCTCACTTACATAAATGAACTATAGTTTTCTGCACACACTAGTAAAAAAAAATATATATATATATATAAACATATATCTGGTGTCTGAATAATTTTTGGCTTGACTTGAGTGTACAGCCACGCATACATACAGCCATTACAATTACAATCCAGTCCTGTGACATCTGGTAAAACCATAGATGCTATAAAACCATAGTCTGTCTGTCCCGCATTAATTTTCACCATAACCTACACTGAACATTAGCGTCGGAGAAAAGGCTTTAGCTTCTAGCTAAACGTTAACTATAATTTTATTTAACGGTTTACTACTTCAACTACTATGTTTAGTACTAGGCTACTAAAAATTAGATGCTTAATATATTAATTTTATTAATATATCAAGCAAACAATAGGCCTAAATGAATAAAATAAAGCACAGTAGCAGCTCCTTAGGTGGGGCAGATTCTGGGTCATAGTTCAAGTGTAAGCTTATCATTTATAGCATACAAGTTGTAGATATAGATGAATTAACAAGCTTAGACAATTCTTCCTCTCCTATAGCAGCAATGAAACAATGAAGCAATGATACTGCAGTAGACGGTTGCATAGTTATAGTTTTCTCCCTAATATTATCAATCTTGCAAGTAAAGAAATTCATAAAGTCATTACTGCTGTGCTGCTTGGAAACATCTGGGGTTGAAGCTTTATTTTACGTTAGTTTAGCCACTGTTTCAAATAGATACCAAGGATTATGTTTATTTTCTTTTAAGTGTGTTGAAAAATAAGCAGATCCAGCAGGTTTTAAAGGCCTCTCTGTATGCGATCGAGCTCTCCTTCCATCAAATCCGGAGGAATGCCTCTAGTTTAGTTTTCTTCCAGTTTCGCTCCATGTTTCTGGCTGCTCTCTTAAGGGCCCGTGTGTGTGTGTGTGTGTGTGTGTGTGTGCTCGTTGTAACACGCGTCTGGCTATCCTTAATCTTCTTTAAGCGCAAAGGAGGAACTGTGTCTAAAGTGCTGGAAAAGAGAGAGTCAATAGTTTGTCGCAGCACCGAGTTCATCTTAAGCTATCTGATGCTGAGGAGATGAAACTGATCAGTAATATTATTGAACTAATATTACTGAAAGGAAACTCGGTGGCGCATTAATGCTGATGCTCCCGGTGACCAACACACACACCTCGACAAGACCGAAATATAATACGACAGCAAAGTGACCGACCGGGGGATGCTTTCTAGCTGACTCTTTTATCCGGAAACCAGATGAGAAGGGAAAAGGGGGCTATGGATTCCCCTTGGGATCGATTTCATCAGCAGCGTTCCCAGATGTGTCCCTTCGAACTGTATCTCAGCCTGCCAGATTCAAGCCACCGATTTCCCCCGGCAGTGGCAGACGTTATGGGTCTACCATATTTGTAACACAGAGTCGTTGGCTAAAGGAAGTTTACTGTGATATTTAATATGTCTATTATGGGCCTATGAGATTTTGAAGTTGTTCATGTTCTTTTGAAAGTAATTTGTTAATATGTTGTTAAACCTTTTTTTGGTGTTTGATGGTTGAAGGCTGAAGAGAATAATGTCTCCTCATCATTCCCCATTTTTAAAAGTGCTTCCCAGACTAAATGTGCTAAATTTATAATCTATCCAACTTGCATCACGACTTTAAATAGTGTAGAAATGACGAGAAATATGTTGCAAAATGCTGAGCACATTACGATTTAACAATGGACCAATAGATTTATATAGAGGTCTGTTTGTTTTAGAAACTGGTTACGGTTGGGAATCGAAAATACTTGAGGTCAAGAATCGAAAATTAATAAAATTTTAATTTCAATTCCTCTTATCGATAAGCAGAATCAGAATCGGTAAAATTAAAAAGATGCCCAACCCTAGTCCTGGTGCAAAAAGGTTTCAAAATGACCACCAAGTGTGAACAAGAAAAGGCTTTTCTTTCTCTTTACTGCTTTCTACATTCATCATCATGGCTTGTAAAGTGTAAGTTTACATTGTTTCCTGCTGTGCAACAGAGGAGAATAGACTTTGCTTCAAGTGCTCTATAACTGTACATATTATGATGTCTGCTCTCTTCTGTCTACAGGACTCTTGGAACATCGATTTAATCGATTCAGCCCGAGGCAGCAACAGCCGAACAGCATTGCTCTGCAAGTCAACATCGCTGTAAGATGCAGAAATCAGTTCACAGTTCACACAGATACTTTCATAAAGCAGATCACTGCTCCCATATGAGGAACTGAGCACATCTGTGTGTGTGTGTGTGTGTGTGTGTAATGCTGTTGTCTGTCAGAATCCTCTCAGAACACAGCGTGACCCATGACGAGTCCAGCAGGAGTGTGTCGTGGGGTCGTGACGAGTCCAGCAGGAGTGTGTTCTGGGCCCGTGTGGATCCTGTGCTCGTGTCCGATGACCTGCTCTTCAGGGTCTCTGTGCCGTGGCGTTCTGTGGAACTTCCCATCAGATGGAGACGTAAGAGCTGCAGTACCAAAATATCAATACTGTAGGACCAACTCGTCTGTAAAACATATTCTTTTGGACTGCCCACACTTTAATGTTATGAGATCAGGTCAAACTTTTAAGGACTTATGTATGGATCAGTTTTTAGCACAAGTAGGAGCTTTTAGGACAGTTTGGCAAACTTTATTTGCATTGTTTAATCAGTGAACAGCACAGCCCGGGAACTGATGGAGGCGGTTCTGGAGACCCTGGATCATCAAGCTGGAGTCAGTGGGCAATACCTGATGAAGCTCTGTGACTCTGAGGAGTTTCTCAGAAGGTAGTGGATCTGATGTTCTCGTTGATGCTGAATGAAATGCTCTCTCCGCTGTTGTTCAAGTGCCGTTGTTTTGGCCTCTTCCAGCGATGAAATCTTGGGATCTCACGAGCAGATCCAGGTGCATCATAAGTTTGCTTCAGATGTTCCCGTGAGGATGATGCTCTGGGACAGCATTGACAAAACCCTGGCGCGAGATGTACGACATTTGATTACGGTGGCTCAAAACAATTACTCATTTGAAGAAGCTCCTGTTGTTATGAGACTGCATGTGTCTGTAGGAGGAAGACGACAGGCAGGCGTTTCATTTTAACCCAGTCCTCGAGTCCGCTTCTGCGTCCAGCACGATAAGGTGTGTTTACGTCTGTGCTATGAAAGCATAAAACTGACAAAATTCCTTTTGAAAAGTACGTTTTCTATGTATGGTATTCCTGTATTTTAATGTCACGATTTGCAAAATTAAAATTGATTATGTTGTTTGCTGTGACGTGAATATGTGAATGCGGTCAATGCATTTTCTTACCAACATGGAATTTATTGCATAGTGTTCATGAAAACTCAATTTTAAAATAATGTGTTTGTCCTTCATGGATTTGCATCAATTTTATTTGAAATTTTGTACATAAAGGCATTTACCGGTATTTACATTAAAACTGGAACTGACAAATTCAAATTGCATTTTAGAAATTGAACTTTGTTTTGCTCCAAATGTTGCATATCTGCGTGTGGGAAAGGTACAGAAATAGATTTCCACCATTTCAAATTACCGATTCACATTGAAAATCATTTGTTCTCGTAGGTCGTGTCTGCAGGAGAAACTAAATATCTACAGCAAGGCAGTAAACGAGCTCATGAGAAGCCAGGTTTGTGTTTCGCTGACCTCCACATGCATGATTGAAATGTTTAGAAATACTGTAGAGTTTATTCTGCGTGATCTGAGCGGATGGATGGACTTTAGTCAAGTGGTCAAAATGATGTTGTGTAATTATGAAACCAGCTGCAAAGCGTCTCTGCAGGACCCCATACTGTCATTATTCCAATCAATTCAGTTCAAGTTTTGTTCTCATCTGCAGTCAAATCAGTGATATTGCCGAATATTAAAGGAACGATTCACTTAAAAATGAAAATTGTCATCATTTACTCCCCTCAAGTTGTTTCAAACCTGTGTGAATTTATTTCTTCTGCTGAATAATGGAAGATGTTTTGAAGAATGTGGGTAACCAAGCAGTTTTTGGACCCCATTGACTTCCACAGTGTTTTTTCCCCTACAATGGAAGTGAATGGGGTCCAACAACTGTTTGGTTACCCACATTCTTCAAAATATTTAGAGTAAACGATGACCGAGTTTTCATTTTGAAGTGAACGATTCCTTTAAGTAACCCGAGAGACATGACTGAATGTAATGAATGAGTGTGTGTCAGTGTGGTGTGTGTGCGGTGGTGGACAGCGTTGGCGGTGTGTGTGAGCAGATGTGTGGCGTGACTACAGCAGATCTGGAGGAGGCCGTCGGGCGGCTGGAGCGCTTCGCTCCTCTGGCACAGGTACAGCGTCTCGCTCTCGCTGCATGTGTGTCACTGAAGGGATTATCATTAATTATAATGCTCTGTTCCCCAGAGTCCAGTGGAAACCAGTGACTGTGAAACGGGTGAGTCTTCAATAAAGGGATGTTTTGAAACGTCGGATCTGTAGGGGACGAGTGTCTGGTCTGTGATGTGTGTGTCTGTGCATGTTTCAGCTGTAGTCGAGCTCCACCAAGCTCTGCTGAAGCTGCTCCACATTTTCTTCACAAACTTTGATTTGGACTTCAGAGGACCGGATGTTCCCGATCCGCCAGCGTCCGACGTCCGGCTCAACACACACATGCTCCAGCTCGACCTGAGCGGCTTCTACAGGCTCCTGCCCGACTGGGTCCACGGGTACGACTGATGTTTAACACACACACACACACACACACACACACACACTCTGCTAACACTAAAGTAACCCCTGCAGTTTCACTCGATTCAGACACCCTTACAGAGATGAGCTCTAGTGTCCTGCGCCCACTGGTACAATATCAACTGTCTGAGTAATGTTTGGTTTGACTGTACCTTATATAACCCAGTACTTTCTTAGTAAGTGCACGGCCACATACTGTAAAATAAAGTGCTACCAAACTCTTTTCTTTTCAATTTCACATTACTAGACAAATATGTGGTAATGAATTGCCTTAAATTTCTCAAGAAAGTTTTTCTATAAATAGTAAGTTGTTAATACAACCTGAAAAGTGTTGGAACAACAATCTGAATGAAATTGAATAAAACTAAAAACATCACTTTATTTCAAATCCGCACTAGCATACGCGCGTGAACTACTGTAACTAGCTAACGAGCGTCACGGCATCGGCCGCTAGCCGGAGTGACTGACGCTCTATGGGGGAACAGTGTCTTTAATGCACAGAGAACATTGATGACTGAATGAGATGTGGTGTGTGTTTCAGCTACGATCACTTCAGCGTGCGCTGCTCGCTCACACACTGCGGCAGGAGTCTGACGGAGCCGGTCGTGTGTGAGAACATCAGCACGTCACTGACGCTGCACTGCAGGATCCGCTGCAGCCGCCTGTAAGACCCCGGACGCTCGCTTCATACAGTTTCGTCATGAACTAATCCTGTTTTGGTTTGTGTTTGCCTTTTTGGCGTTGGGTTTAAATGTTTCTGAACTCCTGAACGCCTCCACTGTAGTCTTGAGCTGAACGAACACGTCACAATATTCCTCATTATAATAATCCATACACAGAATAAAGGGGCGGGGCCTGGTGGAGTTAGGGTTAGTTGTGTGTTAAACTGGCGATTATGGTAAGGGGCGGGACATTTTCCAAACACACTCGAAGCACTCGACCAATCACAGCAAACTGCTCCAGTTGACCAATCAGAGCACTGTGACATTTCAGAGTAAAAATGGTGTTTTACCCTGATGATCTGTCTGTTTCTGTGTGTGTGTTCAGACTGGTGTTTCCTGTTCCAGTTGGAGAGCTGCCGTATGAATCAATGCTCACTTTTCATCTGTTGGGCTCAAAACAGTCCCGAAACCCCGAGCTCCTCTGCTGGGCGGCCCTCGCTCTCTTCAGTAACAGGTATGCCATCAAACACTCTCTCTTAAAGCACTGATTTCTCTTAGTTGTCTTCTGTTTCTCAGATGCTCTACACACACGAACGCAAACACACATTCCTGATGACTCAAACAGTTTTCCAGTTTTCCAACTACAGATGAAATATTTCATAAATTATAACAAAGTTGAATGATGTATGAAAGTCAAAGATATTGTCAACAACAATATAGCAAGTAAACAAATAATTCAGCAAGAAATAAACAATATATTTATCAAAACATCAATCATAAAAGTGAATTTTGTCAACAATTATCCGTCCCGCCAGGATTTTTGTGGGAGTTTTTTTTGCGTCCCAAAGTGACAGAAAAAGCTGCGGTTGTTGCAGTTGTTGTGTGTTTTTGTTTTGCAGTAAAAGCCCATTAGTACACATGATGTTCTTGTGTAAATTGTGTCAGTGACCGTAAGAGTCCTGTTTGCTGTCAATACTTTTTGTCCTAATTACTGAATTTGTGGTTCTGGAGCGCCGTGGTCCGTGTTTCTGTGAGCTGCTGTGATTGATGTGTGTGTTGCAGGACTCTGGTTCACGGCACGGTTCTGCTCAGCATGTCCACACAGGTGCCGCCCAGGTGTCCTCCGTCATCAGCACTGACCCACGGCCATCGGCAGCCCACGGGGGTCATTCTACAGGTCAGCTCGTCCGTACTGCACACACACACACACACACACGCTCTGGACACATCAGTACTGTAGTGTCACTGCATAGCTTGTGATTGTGATGTTATATTAAAGGTACAAAAGGTCTGATATGATTTATCTCTTTCGTTTTTTACACAAAAGCCAGATGTTTTACAGGCGTGTTTTCATCTAATGAGGGACCATGTGTATATATGAACATATTCAACCACATTTCTTCCTCTTGAAATGTTTTGTGGCATTCATCCCAGAGTATAAATGTAGAAGTTGTTATGGCTTAAGGTCATAAATGAATCTGCTTTATGTGTGTTAAGCTTGTTTTCCCAGACTCTGAACAGTGGCGATACGAGCGAGCGTCCGCACGGCCCGGGTCCGTCCTCGAGTCTCCCTCGTGTGAACCCGTGTGTGACGAGCTGCATAAGAGAATAGCAGACGTGTCTCAGAAACACTGCCTGTCGCTGTCAGTATCAGATGACCTCCTCTCTCCTGAAGCTGTGGGTAATGATGACACTGATGTGGACACTGATGTCACTTCCTCTGTCGATCGCCCGCAGGTTGACTGAGAACGAGAAGGTGTTCCTGTGGAGCAGACGGCAGGCGTGCAGCTCGAGGAACTCTCTCCTGCACCTGGTGTTGGGCAGCGCCCCTACGTGGAGACCGCAGGACCAGCCCGAGATCTACGGGATCCTGCGGCGCTGGCGAATCAGCTGCGAGGAAGCCTTGTTCCTCCTGAGCCACGAGTACGTGCTGTTTCTGTTCCCCGTCACCGCTTCAATACACTAGGGTTAGGCTGTCAATTCTTAAAGGGTTGGTTCATCCAAAAAGGAAATTTAGCTCATGATTTACTCACCCTCAAGCCTAGCTAGGTTTACAGTATATGACATTGTGTGCATGAAAAGTGCATCCATCCATCATAAAAGTGCATCTATCATGATAAAAGTGCATCTGTCATCATAAAAGTGCATCTGTCCATCATAAAAGTGCATCTGTCCATCATAAAAGTGCATCTGTCTAGATTTAGACTGATTTGTGAACAATATTTGAGAGAAATAGGCCTTTTTTGTACAAAGAATGCTCATGAAAAATGGGGGCAAAAACAAAAGTGTTGCGTTTATAATTTTGTTCAGTGTGTGTGTGTGTGTGTATAAATACAATAATTTATCATTTGGTCTTATGATAAAGTAGCTAAAATATGAGGTTTGTCATTTTATAAAACTGGTTTATAATTTGAACCGTAAAGCTGCGTTTCAGTGATTGGTTTTCCTGATCCTGTTGTGTGATTTATCAGTACAGTGGAGTTATCAACTTATCAATACAGTCTTATCTTATCTATACAGTGGAGTGTCTGTAGTTGCTCATCAGGACACACACACACACACACACACACACACACACACTCTGATGGTTTAGTGTGATGATCTTTCAGGTTTCATGACCAGTTTGTGCGTTCAGTGGCTGTGCAGCATTTCCAGCAGATGTGTGACAGTCAACTGGAGGAGTTTCTGCCACAACTGGTGCAGGTCAGACACACACACACACACACACACACACACACGCATCTGAGACACGCACACACAATGCATTTTTCAAACATCTGCAAACACACACACACACACACACACACAGCACTTTTGAAACACCTGCGCCTGCCCCACACACACACACACACACACTGAGACAGACTGAGAGACTGTGAATCCCGATGTGTGTGTGTGTGTGTTCCTCAGGCTCTGAAGACGGAGTGGGACTCTGACGGGCCGCTGGTGACGCTGCTACTGTCCAGATCCCTGCGCTGTATCCGGATCGCTCAGCAGCTGTACTGGTGCGGGAACACACACACACACACACACACACACACACACACTACATTAGCTACGGTTTAGCACTTTTTAATGTACTGAATGTATTATCACGCTCTAGCCTGTTAACTGTTAGTGTGCTGCTGCGGGACTTTGGGCGCTTTATTTGTTGCCTTTTTTCCCGTCACATATTTTGGTAATCTCCATGTTGCCTCTGGTATGTGTGTGTGTGTGTGTGTGTGTGTGTGTGTGTGTGTGCAGGCTGCTGGTGGACGCTCTAGAGGACTGGCTGTATAAGAGCTGGATCAGTACGGTTCTGTCGGCACTGAAGCACTGCTGTGGACGTGCGCTGAGACTCGAGCTGCAGCGGGAGACTCAACTGATGGATCTGCTCACACACCTGGCCCAGAGAATACACACCGCAGACAAACACAAGAGAAAGGTGTGACTGGAACACACACACACACACACACACACACACACACCGCTTTAGTGCTGAAGTGTCGTGTCTGTGCAGGATGTGTTTCGCAGAGAGCGATGGAAGATCGGCAGCTTTTTCTCCGACGGTCTGTCCTGCAGGCTCCCGTTAGACCCGGCGGTCGAGGTCACGGGGGTCAACATCGAGGTACAGTCAGTGAACGCATCCGTGAGATTTACTGTGCTTTAGGAACAGACATTCAGACAGAGTACGAGTTCAGAGGTCAGACATCTGCTCAATATTACGATCAGGATCAGATGAGTCCCGTCTCTCGACGTGCCGTTCTGTCCTCGAACACTGTCTGGAGGAATGTCAGATCTCGTGAAACTATCACTGAAAAGCAAGTTGTTTTTATTTTAACAGGTGAAATCTGTTAGCATGGGGCCAGAAAACTGAAAATGTTCTGCGAAAAGAAGCATAACTGCGCAAACATGACGTCAGTTTTATAATAATTTAGTCATAAAGAGAAGATTTTAGATGGATCTGTACTTTCCCTGTTCAGTAAGAACAAATGTGTCCCAGTGAACAAAAACATGTTATAAGAAGGTTTTGCTTATGTTCATATAAACATTTTTTTTCTGAATGTTCTGAAACAAGTGGAAACATTTAAACACCAACTAAAACATTTCAGAAAAAGCGCTCCATGAACAATTTATAAGTGATGTTTTTGTGTATAGAGAACGTTGATAAAGGCCAGCTAACTGTGAATTAATGTTCTATTAATGTTACTGGA